CCATTAGACAAGTGTTTTCTTTCCTGGGCAAGACAAATAAGCTATGCTTGCAGTTCATATACCAGTGCAAAGTTATTTCCAAGGCAAGGAAAAAACTTATTTGACTTGTTAATCAGAATATGAATGGAGACAGACTTATATTGTATCACCCCAAAAATATTTGCTTTGCATTATAAAAATACCTGACACATAAAGGATATGGAGAAAGTTGTACTCCTGTTATTCAAAGAACACCTGTACTGGAAAAAAAACAATATTTGATTTAAATCTCATTATCAGTTAAAATATTTAAAACTGAAAACTCCAGTTTTAGAAATGTTATAATTTTATGCTACACCAAACAAAAATTTTGTGTTATACATTAAAAATAGTCATTATAATGTTTGATATCTCTGATGATAGAATAATATTTCTATGTTCTTTTAAAACTTGTGTTTTCTCAGATGATTTCTGAACTGTAGAAAGTTTCTTGTTGTATCAAAAAGTGTGTCTACCAAGGCATAAATTCAGACTTAAATCAATATGCTATTCCATTTTCTCACACGCTGTATTTGATTGTTCCCACACATATTCAAAATTAAGTCTGCCATACCATAGTGAGAATGTTACTTTTAAATTCTTAGCATCTGTTCTAGAACTTTCACTCTGAAAGGTGTCTTGGACTATAATAACATATTGTATCAATCCAGAGATTTTGTTATGCCCTTTAGTATGAATTCTGTGCTGTTAATAAATTCTTAAATTTCAGTTGCCCATGTTTCATAAAATATGGTGCATCCTATCTCTGTCTTCTGAATACAAAAGTTATTAATATTTCATTTTAAAGCATAATGGCTAGCCTTAATCAAACAATATATTTCATATCACTGTGTAGAGTAGGGCATGATTTTACAGAAATTTTACAGGAAGTTCACCGAACTTGCATTTTTATCTAGCAATTTTTTTTCATTTATATTCATACATATAAAATAAATAATTATCAGTGCACCAGTGCACTCATTAAAGCAACAAATATAGTAAATTAATATGTTCCCAAATGAATAATAATATTTTGCAAAGTTTCAAATCCCTTCGTATTAAAGAGTAGCTATATTAAAGCTATTAATAAATACTGTATTTATTTCTTAGGTCTTCTGGGTTGGCAAATCTCTCCATTCCTAACATCCAATTACAACTTTGACCATTTCTTATTTTTCTTTCAGATTTATTTCCTATGTCATAATGCATTGCTTGCCTGCCAAAAAGATGGAATATGCAACTGTATACTGAAGTCACTTTCAGAACTCCTCAGGAAATCACTCAACACTCTGCAACTGTTACTTATCTTTCTGTGCCACATTCCAACTTCTATCTTCCTACTGGAAAGACTTTTTCTGTTCAGAGTCTCAATCTCAAACAGGCTTACTCAAGCTATATTGGCAACGTAGAACAAATGTATCTAGAAAATCTCTAGCAAAATAGAACAATGATGAAATATAAAAGAAGGATTTTCTTGGGTTTTTTTTTCATTTTTTTAAGACCTTTGCTTCATGAATTTGAAGAACAGTTTGAAGAGACAATCTTCTGATGAATTTTTGTATATTTCAAATTTATATCCTCTGATGGGCTTCTAAAGGATCAGACTCTTTAAGCAAAAATAATCTCCTCTTTTCCTGGATAAAATTCAAGAGCTTTGAATAAAGACAATCTGTAAAAGAGATTGTCACGAACTTGTGAACTCCAGGAGGGACTTCAACAGGGGCTAGAGAGTTGTTGGGGATTAGTAAATTAGAGAAATAGGAAAAAACCAGAAGACCTTGTAGAATCTTAGAAGGTTAAGCTCAAGACTGAGCTGTTGCTCAAATCAGTTCTTACCTTATCCCACTGAATACTTTTCGCACACAGCAGTCTCCACTAGCCAGAAAATTTGAAGTTATTAAGCTTAGCCTTAAGTTAGTGGGTAATGCCACTGGCATATGATTTCAGATGAAATCCTGTCCTGCTTAAATCACCGACAAGGGTCTTGTCAACTTCAGAAAAGACAAGATTCCTCCACAGAATTCAGTATCACTAACTACAGAAGGACATGTTTTCTTAAATTATGCAAGTATAAACATCAATTACCAGGAAAAACTGACCTTCCATTAAGAATGTACTTTTTTTCTTTTAAAACAAACTTAAGAGAGAAAACAAAATATTAGAACTTACATTCAATATCAAGGTACATGGTCTTTTGGTGCCCACCAATTCTACTTGCAGCTTCACAGTCATATCTCCCTGAATCTGACAACTTCACATCTTTAATATGCAGTGACGATTTTCCATGCTGCCCTTTGACTTCTATACGGCCATCTGGGCTCTGTTTACATTGATTCAGGAAAAAAGAAAGGTTTTATATATATATGTATATTTATGTATGCTTTATATATTAAACACCATTGATAAGTATGACTGAAAGCATCTCTTCACCTATGGTGAAGTTATTACTGACAGCTAAACAACTTCTAAATTTTTCAAATAAATAAAAAAAAAAAAAAAGAAAATATGTTCTGTTTCTAGGCACTATAATCAAGGAAATAAGTACATGCTTAAAGGAACATTGTCAAGGTAAACCACAAAATGTACCCACTTATGACTGGAATACTAAACTGCATACTCAAAACCTGTTTATGATCTCACTCAATTTATTATGATGCTGTAGTTAATGAAAATGCATACATGTAAAATCATAGTATCTTAGATTAGAGTTAGCATTATCTCTTTTGTCCTTAAAAATATAACTGTGAAACTGAATAGAAATACCCCCTCAAACAATGATCAAAACACAAATCCAATTATAGATTTATTTTCATTATTCACATTTTCTTGTCAGAAGCTCACAATTTTTAAAAAAATAGGATCCATAAATGTAACTGGAATTTCTGGATTTCATTTCCATATCATTGCATGGAAAAGGGCAAGGGAGAAAAAATAAATGCTGGCTTCTCATCTTCTGGAACATAAATTCTGTATTTAGCAACTTTACAAAAATCCTTATCCATAACACCTCCCCATCCCCTCCCCCAAAACTATTTGAATTTCAAGAGTATAAAAACATTAGGGAAAACTAAATAAAGCAATTTTTAAAAAAATCCTTTTCTTGACACTTCAACCTTCATGGAGCAGTATACCTGAGGAAAAAGAAGTTATTTTTAATCTGGTTCTGCTCTTTACTTGTTTTGTAGCTTTGGGAAACTTGCTTTACTTCTTTGTTTCACTTCTTTCATTTGAGGGAAAAAAAAGCTGATAAAAACTATTGATATTTACCTACCTTCATTACTGAGGAAAGTGGAAAAGGGAGGGAAAACAACTATTTCGTTGTATCACATTTAAACTTGAAACATACTTCAATGTCCAATCCTATAAATACATACACTCAAATTTACTGCTTTTTACACTAAATACTCACCAAGTGGCAGCTGATATTTAAGTGACTGAGCTTTTAACTCTGTACAATTGTTTCTTCACTGAATACAGAAAAAATGCGCGCAATTTATATCTTAAAATCTTTGACATAAAGCAGTTAAATAAAGCATTCTGTATACCATAATTTCTATCGAAAGGAAAGTATTCTGATCCCACATCAGAATCCAAGAACACTGAATTTTTTTTCCTGTGAAAACCTCACAGCATAGGTACATAAATTAAAGTTACGGAATTCTAATGTAAGAACAAACCTAAAATCCTCTGGGGATTGGTAAAAATTAGTAACTAAAACCACTTAGTTATCTCTTATGTAATTTCTAATGCTGAAACTTCTATTTTCATTATACCTTTAAAAAAGGAAAGAGAGAACTTATGAAGTTACTAATAAACATGCTACAGTACTGAATGTCACGGGTTTTGGAGGGAATTCTTGGGATAATTAAATTGAAGTTCTTGAAGTAAAACATTAAATAGTTTTCTAATTTCTGATATACAAACTACTTTCTATGACATAATTAATAACAGTATTATTTACCTATGGATTATTTGCTCCTTTTTTAAAAATATCATGTCTGTCATGAATTGGTAAATCTACATTATTCCTACCTAAAATGTACATACACTTCAGCAGATTTATTTCTTATTTTACCTTGATTACAAATATTTTCCCAAGAAGTCACATTTAAAAATGTGAGAAGACATATGCTGAAACAACCTGTGACTATGAATCACAGATACAGTACTAAACACTGTATTAGTGATTCATCTAGAGCTGCCCTCCTAAAGCACTCGGGTAGCTCTGTACAATAGAGAGTAGTAGTAGAGAACAGGTATTTTGAGAAAAACACTTTCTTTGCCCTTCCTTATTGTATATTACAAAACTACAATGAGGAGCCAAATTCTTTCTTAGTACCTCCTCCTTGCACAATACGAAGTGTCTGTGTAATTATATTGATCTATAGCTGTAACAACACATTCACTGAAGTTCTTTCACCATAATTTTCTGAATTAGATCAGAGATTATTCAACTAGCTCAATTTTCTGTTTCCAGTAATAGGTTATTAGAAGCTAATAGGTTATTAGAAGCACATATGAAAAAAAAGAATAAAATTGGCACTAAAAATATATATGCCAAATGGCAATGCTTCACTCCCTGAAAAACAAATACATACTAATTGTACCTTCTGTGCAGTATGGTCAACAGGATTCATGTAAAAAGAGTTAAATTATTTGTAATCCTCACTAAAATCACTAAAGGTATTTTTACAGAAGTATAAAATTTGCAGTGCTATTTTGTACTTGATGACAAAGAAAAAAATTATCAGTTCAATACTAATCTCAAATACTATAATTCACTGTATAATTCACTATATATTTCAATATAATTAATTCCATACATTACAAAGCACAGATATGAGTGCTAATTGATGGGGGGTTTTTTGAAAAAAAAAAGGTAATGAAAATAAGCACAAAGATCCTTAAAATGAAATAACTTTTACAATAACTTCTCAATCTTGTTTTTAGTTTCTGTATTTATTTTCTAATACTGCTGGAAAAAAAATTTGGTCTGCACCCAAAATAGCTTTCCCATGTTCTCATGTATGAGAAAAAAAAAATTTGATCAAATATAGTTGATGTAATATATTTAGATTTATAGTAAGGGCAAAACCCAACTTAATAAATACTCTGAATGATATGACATTTTTGCATAACCACATCATCTATTCTCATCATCAAATATATGGTAAGAAGCATCTTGAGAGGGATCTATTAGGTTAAGCAAAGTCCACAAAAAGAAATAAAAACCGTAACAATTGTAGGCAAGAAGATTTGGCCCAAATTATCATAGAAATATGTATTTACTAAAGTTAATTTCTACTCTTCCAAAATTGTCTAAAAATTATTACAATAGTCTCTTTGAAATTGATTACAAAATAACATAATATATATAATAAGGTGTTTTCTGCTGCATTTCTCAGAATGCATATTACACTGTGGCTTCTTCATGAACAGTTTAAGAAGTCCTGTATCTGGTCCTATTCTGCAGATGGGTTAGTGTACAATTCCATTAATTTTTCTGCAAACATGGTGCAATACCTGAATAAAAATATACTGTTTGGCTGACATTCCTGAACACAGAAATACATAAAAGAAAACAAGAGTGCAAATACAGACCAAGAAAATTCCATAAATAAATAAATAAGTAAATATGTTTTGAAGCAGTTGCCTATGTCTAGAGAGGATTGCCAGAATATGCTGGAGATTAACACATGCAGATGAAAAATGCAAGATAGTATGGTGAATTTTCACAAGGACTTCAAAAATACTAGTGTGGCTGTATTACATCATTCTATGGTATAAGTCAGTTAACAGAGATCTGAGTAAATAAATCAAGGACATATTGTGATGACACAAAAAGCACAATAACAGTGCAGTCATGCTGAAGCACAGCTAGAAGCAAACTTTAGGAATGCAGCAGAGACACAGAAGTTGACTACAGACAGCAAAGAGCAATGAAGAAACTGGGACAAAAATCGAATAGGCAGTGTTAGCCTGAAGCAAAAATTGAAGCCATGTTAGTTATATTTCCCTGTTCTTGTAAAGGGCATTAGCAAAACTAGAATATACCAACAAAGCAGAAGTCTGCATTTATACTGATCCATAACATCAGTCTTCTTATTTAACTTTGAACAGCAAATACACAATGTCAAACAGGGGCAGCACTAACCCTGGGGTCTGCACCCACCAGAACTTTATAACCCTTGGTAAAACCTTTCTGAGGCTTATTTCCTTTCTGCATTAAGTATGGTGAGCACACATTAGCACCACATCTGGCACTGTAACACAACAAAACAGAAAGAGGAAGAGACAGCACACATGGGAACACAATGTACACTGCACCTGCCCAGTAGTCCTCAGTAGAAATCTCCACCAGGAAAAAAAGCATTGGAACTGCCACTGGTGACAAATCAAAATACAGATATAATCTCTATAAATTAAAAATGTCAGTAACAATCATGTCTGCCTGAAATAATAATGGACACCTACTAAATTGGAATATTCTTTTTTTCCTTTCAAATGTTATAGTGGGAGAGATGTACAATACGTACTATGGTGTTTTCTGCTAGGTTGAATAAGTACATGTGCTTTTATTTCTTAGTATTAATAATGAGTATAAAAAATAGACAAAACAAAACCCTAGACAACCAGAACAGTCTCTATGGTTCAGTACTCATGATTTCTTCTCATTCACTGAATTACTCTGCATCACTGTGGAGCATGAATAATCAGTGAGGTCTGAAAAACATATATGGTCAACACGATTCCCTACAGACATACATATTTCTTTAGAAAGATCAATGAGCAAGTATGTTAACAGGCACTTACACTCTAAGACTTTGGAAGCATAATTTCAATAAACAGACCATTGTGTGTCCTGAAAATGGTAAAGACAGACAAGGTCTTTGGAAGTTACCTTTTTACAGCATTTTGGAAATCATAATAAAATCTTAATAATTCAAAATATTTTTCATCATTAATGTTAATCAGATAATTTCATAGAATTTATAAATAAAACTGAGTTTGGGGGGGCTTTGTTGGTGGTTTTTTTCCCCCCAAAACCTCATCACCAGCATAAAGCTAAAACACACATGACAAATCTTCAGCAGAGAATTTGATAGTGTTTTACTCAGGTAAAGTTGACTTTGTGACTTTATCCACATAAAAAACATATTCCCTAAATTAAGAATTTAACATTTCACAGAAAAACACCTTTTATTTTGAATACTGATAGCAATCTAGTTATCTGTCATCGTCAAAGAAAAAAACGCTCTTCTACGCAGGCCTCCAAGTAAAATTATCCATAATAACAACACTGAATTATAAAAAAGGGCC